TAAAAAGCCAGGCAGAAGAGAAAGTAATGCAAATCATAAAGAAGACTGTGGTGTAAATCATCTCAGTAGAATCCAGTGTTTACCACTGACTTCTCTCTCTGGATCTGCCCCTGGTGATATCAGAGGGTGTCCCAGTCTGGTCCTAGTCAGTCTGAGACTTCCAACAATACACAGTCTGTGTCTGTCTCCTCAGTTGCTAATCTAGTTAAGCTATTATCGGCAATTAGATTTAAGCACCACAGGGTGGGACAGAGTAATTTTTGATGTTGGGCTTATTACTCCCCCTCAGGCTGATGCCACTTGGAGGAGACTGCTCTGCCTGAGCAAGATAGCACCTGCAGTATGGGGAATGACACAGCACATGGTTCCTGGAGGCTTCACTCTCAGTTCCCTCCCCAAAGCCATATCCCCAGATTTTCCTCAAGCATCTCTATTCCACTCTTCCATCCCTTTGCTAGAGCCCAGGGTAAGTGGCTACAAATGAAATTTTATGTGATAGCTCTTTAAGAGGCTTTCTGTCTCTCCAGCCTTTTCTCCATGGCAGACAGAAACCATGCCACTTTTCACAGCTAAATGTCATCTGGGTTCCTTTCTGGCTCTGGTGCTATAGGCTGGGGAACCCAGCTTGGGTTTTAGACCCCACACTTCTCAGGGGGACACCCCCAGCCACTGAAACTTCCCTCTGGATGTTCAGCTGCCACTCATGGGAGCCCAGCCATCTCTCTCACATCTCCTCCACACTCAGTACCAGTCATGTTGTACTGAAGTGTTTTCTTCTGTCTGCCTGTGATCATAAGGCCTCTATCCAGCTATTGTTCAGTTGGTTATTCTAGATGATTTCTCTACAGTTTAGCTGTAATTCCAGATTGGATCTGCGAGGAGGTTAGTGCAGCTTCCACTTACTCCTCTGCTATCTTGGATCTCTCTCCATTTCTACTCTTTTGAAGTAACACCATACTGCTTTCCACAGTGTCTGCACCAATCTGCATTCCCACCACCACTGCAAAAGAGTTCCCTTTTCTCCATATCCTCTCCAATGCTTGTTTATTTTTGACTCTTTGATGATAGCTATTCTGACATGTGTGAGGCATTTCATTGTGGTTTTCATGTGCATTTATCTGATGGTGTGTGATGTTCAGCATTTTTCATATGTCTCTTGGCAATCTGTGTGTCCTTTTAAGAGAAGTGTCTATTTGGGTCCTTCGTCCATTTTTTAATTGAATTGTTTGGGTTTTTCTTTATGTTCAGTTTTATGAGTTCTTTATTTTGGAGATTAACCCTCTACCAAATCTATCATTGACAAATAGCTTTTCCCATACAATGGGTTGTGTTTTCACTTTCCTGATGGTTTTCTTTGCTCTGCAAAAACATTTTAGTGTTATGTAGTCTGATTTATTTATTTTTGTTTTATTTCCCTTGCCCAAGGAAAGATTCAGAAAAAAAATACTGCTATGAGAAATGTCCAATATTTTATTGCCTATATTTTCTTCTAGGGTTTTTTTTTCCTTTTTTTTTTTGGTTTTGAGTCTAGAATTTAATCTTTAACCCATTTTGAGCTTATTCTTATGTATGGTGTAAGAAGATGTTTTAGTTTCATTTTTTTGCATGTATATGTTCAATTTTCCCAACACCACTTATTGAATAAATTATTGTTATCCTATTGTATGTTCTTGCTTCTTTTGTCAAATATTAATTGACCATAAGGGCATACATTGGTGTGGGGTGGGGAGTGTACTCTCTATTCTGTTCCATTGATCTACCTGTTTGTTTTTATGCCCATACCATGCAGTTTTAATTACTATGGCCTTGTCTTATATTTAGCATAGGTTGCATAATTCTTCCAACTTTTTTTCATCTTTCTCAAGGTTGTTGTGGCTATTTTAGGTTTTATGTGGTTCCATATAACTTTTTGGAATATTTGTTCTAGTTCTCAGAAATATGCCATTGCTATTTTTATAGGAATGTAGCTGAATCCACAGATTGCTTTGGATAGTGTTAACATTTTAATGATGTTAATTCTTCCTATCCATGAACACAGTATTTTTTTCCACTTATTTGTATGTTCTTTGTTTTCTTTCTTTATTGTTTTATAATTTTCCAAGTATATATCATCTACATCCTTGATTAATTTTATTCCTAGCTATTTCTGATAGTGCATTATTGGTGTATAAAGTATAACATTTCTATATTTTTTTGGTCTTCTACTACTTAACTGAATTCATCGATCAGTTCTAGTAGTTTTTGGTGGAATCTTTGGGGTAACCTAAGTACAATATCATGTCATCTGCAAATAATGACAGTTTTATATCTTTTTTCCAATTTGGATGACTTTTATTTCTTCTTGTCTGATTAATGTGGCTAGTACTTCCAGTACTATGTTGAATAATAGTGTAAGAAGTGGACATTCCTGTTTTTTCCTAATCTTAAGGGTAATGCTTGTAGTTTTTGCCTGTTTTGTATGAAGTTGGCTGTGAGACTGTCATGGAAGGCCATTATTATGTTGAGATATGTTGCCTCTATTCCCATTTTGCTGAGAGTTTTTATCATAAATGGGTGCTGAATTGTATCAAATGGTTTTTCTGAAAATATTAATATGATCATTAGTTATAATATGTCTATTCAGATTCTCTGACTCTTCCTGATTCAGTTTTGAAAGATTGTATATTTCTAAGAATTTATCCATTTCATCCAGATTATCCAATTTTTTGGCATATGGTTTTTCATAGTATTTCCTTAAAATCCTTTTTATTTCTTTGGTGTTAGCTACTATATCTCTTTCATTTCTGATTTTACTTATTTGAGTCTTCCCCCTTTTTTTCTTGGTAAGTATGGTTAGAAACAGCAGGATTTTGAAACAACTTGGGAGAGGAGGCCCAGGTGAGGTAGCCTCCAGGTGGGGAAAATCTTCCAAGGAAATTGAATATGTACTTCCACCAAGAGAGTGAATATGTGGCTTGTATACAGAATAATGACCCCTCCATCCCTGACTGATCCATTGCTATGCAAATTAGGACTCCAAATCACTGCAGTTTGATTGGTCAAAAATAGCACTCTTCAGATTGGTCGAAATGGAGCAGCTCTGATTGGTCAGTACAGAAACAAATGAAGATATAGCTGCACACCTAAAATTAGACAGGAAAGTCTCAGATCTCTTGATTGAATTTCTATTCTAGGAACTCTCTTACAAGAGTTGACTCACAATGCAGGAGAACAGTGTACAGCTAACAGCACAGACTGTGGCTTTTCTCTGATAGGCAGTGTGCATGTAAGGCCTCTGCAACAATGGCTGCTAGATTTCAGTTTTGACTTTGGGCCCAGTCAACCACAAGGAGTCTTTTTTAGCAGGTATTTTCATTCTTGGAGTCAAAACAGGGAAGCAGAGTTCCTAACTACAGAACTGAAAATCAATAACATTCTTTAGAATAAGTATCACTATATTAGTTTATCTGCTTCTGTAGAATTGAAATGTCTTCCTTCTATTTAAGTAATTATTCCCCTTCCTTTTCTCATAAATATTCTTATCTTTGCAACCAGGAAAATGACCAACAGGTCCAGCTACTGACCACCCTGAAAGCCAAACTTGTGAAGCAGGTACTGGTTGAGAAGGAAAGGGGTTTATTCAGGAGTCAGTGACCTGAGAAGATGGCAATCTCATGCCTTCAAAAACATCCATGTCTTAGTATCTAAGACATCCTGGCTAGGTTATATAGGGGAATGTGGGAAGAGGGGGGCTAACGAAATTCTGGTAACATGCAGTTTCTCAGTTCTGCCTTTGGGTTGTCTCATTGTTATCTCCTGCATGTGTCATTATGTAGTTCCATTGCTCTATCTTCAGTTTTACTCCTGATATTCAGGTGCAGTGTGTGCAGGCAGCATTTCTGTTGGTTCTGGTAGGAATTGCTGATGTTTGTCCAATTCTTGTGGTCTGGGTTGTTCCTTGGTCAGGCAGAAACAACAACTGCTAATATCTACAAATTACTCATAAGGAACCTTTTGGTATATGACTTTTCTATGAGTCTGTTAGAACAACCTATTCTATAATTATTAATTGATTAGTACTTATTTTCAATTAAGAATTGAAAATAATTATTTCAATTAAGAATTGAAATATTAAAATTTAAATAATTGAAATATTAATAATTGCACTATATGAGTTTCTGCCTAAAACAGTGTTTCTGGATTAGCTATTCTTTTGGATCTCAAATAAAGACTTCTTACCTTTCACCTTGATTTTTTTCAGTTAATATAACAAATAAAAATATTGTTAAACTAACTGTCACCTGTATGTTTTTACATTATTTAACGTGTCCACTAGAAGATAGAAAGTTACACAAGAATTCCGTTACATCTCTATAGGGCAGCCACTCTACAATGTTAAGTCCAAGGTTCACTCACCCACTTGTCCCATGTCACATACAGACCCTGGCCAGGGAGCAGCCCAAAAAAGGTTTGTTGAATAAACAAATGAGTCGTGAAAACGAGAACCCAAACTTTTTTACCGAACAGAGCTTAATTAATTCACTTATGCATGGCAAAGAAATTCCCCAGCACACAATGCAGATGAAATGTTCCCCAGTCTTTGAAATGGTACCATTGTTCTGCAAATGCTAGAATTACACTAATTGCTGGAGACCAAGAAGGATATTTTTCCCTTTTTTAAAAGAAGGAAATAGAATCCAGGGGTTACAAGCTTTTCAGACCCAGAAAAGGGTGACACCTTCTGTTGAGATCAGGGTGAACTGAGAGCACACTAGAGAAGCACACAGGGTGAACTTGAGAGCACACTAGAGAAGGTCTGGAAGTGGTGGGGAGGAGGTGGATGGAATGCGTTGGGGGAGGAGCCCAGACAGACTTTGGTTGAGGAAGGCTAGGACTCGGTGGAGGGGCCCACTCGAGGAGGAGCTGGGTGAAGTGGCAACACACAGCTAGTAAAACTATAAAGGAACAAGGCCTTGTCTGAGGAAGTGGGTGGGGGAATGTGACGAAACAGGAAAGGAGGAGCTGGGGTCGGTGTGGGGCGGGCTGAAGCAGGGTAGACTAAAGGGAATAAAAGCCTCAGCTGGAGGCGGTATTCGCGTCTCTCCGAACACGTCTTTTGTCTAGCTTTCATCCACTGTAGGTCGAGTCCCCACCGAGTCCACCATGGCTGGGTTCCTGCGCGCCCTGCTGCTCCTGCTGGCCGCCTTGGTCCTGGCCCTATCAGTGAGCTCTGCAGCCGGCGCGAGCCCCGGCAGGCCTCTCATGCCTGGCGGTCTGGCAGAGGCAGACGTCAACGAAGAGGGCGTGCAGCAAGCGCTGAACTTCGCCCTGAACGAGTACAACAAAGCGAGCAACGACGCCTTCCACAGCCGTGCCTTGCGAGTGGTGCGCGCCCGCAAGCAGGTACACCCCTGGGGTGGGGGGCTGGCAGGGCGACGGGGGCTGGAGAAGCCTTCAACTCTGGAGGGCGTGGCCCTCAGGACCAGATCAACCTACAGTTCCCACTGCCCAGCTTGCAAGAGGGATCACTCTTCCGTGCTTCTCAGCCAGGCAGTTTCCTTAGTATTTATTTAATGTGGCCCACAGACGCCACCGACCTTCATGGGTTTATTCACCAGGGCTTCATTTATGTTTTCAAGCACCAGCCAAAGTAGAAGGACGTGGCGTGGGGTCAGGGCCGTTGTCCTGCCACTTAGCTCTCTACCCTAGGCTCATGGGACTGAGGGCTCAGTGTGAGCTGGCAACTAAATGACTACAGACAAAGGAAAACCAGACTGCACAGCTAGCTGCCTTCCTGGCTCTGCCACTAAATGATTTTTTAAACACTTTTATTCCTTTTAACTTTTCACCTTGAGATGATTTCAGATTTACAGAGCCTTTACAAAAATAGCACATAGAACCCCTGTAGATTCTTCATCCAGATTACCCAAATGTTAAAATGCTGTCCTATTTGCTTTATCCATCTCCCTCCCTCTCTACATGTGCGTGGGGGTACATACATGCATTTATTTCTCTGAATCATTTGAGAGTATATGTTTCCTAAAAACAATGGCATTTTCCTACATAATCTCAGTACAATTTTGAAAATCAGGAATCAGCTGGAACAATTTTCCAATACATAGAACTTATTCAAGATGTTTGTGATTGTTTGACCAATGACCTTTATAGCCAAGGACACTCCAGGGTCATGCACTACAGCCACTGTCCCTCAGCCTCCTTTACCCTGGAGCAGCCTGTCTGACTGTTTCATCATCTTGGCATTTGTGAAAAGTCCAGCCAGCATATGCAGACTGGCACTCTGTTTGGATTGGCCTGAGGTTTCCTCAAGATTTGGGTCATGCAGAAGAGGCATGTTCTCCTAGTTTCCTCTCAGTAGGTGCCACTAAACAAATCTTCATGTCCTCCATGTGAAGTGGTATTTGGGGCCATAGGCACTCCAAACATCCTTTTTGAGGAGGGCTCTCACTGCTCACTTGGTCACCCCTTGGGTACCAGCAAACACAGAGGAGTTCAGGATATGGCCTGTGGTATATCTAGTTGGGTGCTACAGCAGAAGGTCTTGCATAAAAATCCAAACTTGCCAAGAGACCCTGGAGGAAGGGCCTTGGAGCATTGTTTCTTGCCATAGATCCTACCCATGGAGCAGGCTCTAGATTTTGAAGTCTCATTCTCCACCCTGAAATGGGTGCCCTGCCACCAATAGCTGGAGATAGTTGAGTATATAGTAGCCTAGAGAGGATCACACCTGGCCCTGCCTCTGCCAACCTGCACTGAGATTCTGGCCAGATTGGGAGTCATCATAGTCCAGAAGGGGAAGGGAGGAAGCATCAGGAAGGGCTATTGGACTTTGAGCTTGTCCTTGAAGGAAGGCTGGAATTTAGACTATCTGGTCTGCATTCCACTGATGAGCAGAACATAGCCACACAGCAACCAAGTGTGGTGTTGTGTGCTAGTGTTAGGGGTGTCCATCCTGCAGCCCATGAGCCACATGCATCCCAGATGGCTATGAATGCAGCCCACCACAAAATTGTAAATTTATTTAAAACATTATGAGATTTTTTTGTGATTACATGTCACACTGCATTTAATGTGTGGCTCAAGACAACTCTTCTTCCAAGGTAACCAAGTGACACCAAAAGGTTGGACAACCCTGGTAGGGCTTGTTATCACCTCCTCTTGAAATATCAGATAGTGGGTCAAGATCAGACCCATTTCTCCTGCAGCAGTTGGCTAGCACTCTCCCCTTTGGATGACATGTGCACTCCCTGCTCACTAGGTCCCCACCAGCCTGCTCCTCTGTACCAACCTGGTGTCATAGCTCATTAGCCCATGTGGAAAACTGACACCAGAGGGATCACAGGACTTGCTTGAGTTATATCTGACAATCTGAAGCCTGGTTCAGGCCCTTCATTTTAAGGTTTTCTAAGTTCTCATGAGGTGTGTCTGAAGCATGCCTGTATGAGGACAGGCTTCACTTCTGTAATCTCAAATGTAAAAGACATGAGGTGTATAACACATTTTAGAAGTGTTCCCATCACAAATAACTCTTAGAAGTCAGGCTTTCAAAGGACATCTTTTATTGGCCTCAAGCATCTGAATGTATGTGTGAAAAATGTCTAATTTCCTACTGCTCAGTGAGGGCATGAGTAAACTAAGTTACATGGAATGAGAGTCTTGAGGACCTGAATATTACTAACTGGATTATAGTTTCAAGGTCATTGTCATGTGAGTCTTCCTGAAGCAGAACCAGCCTTGGCTCCAGCAGAGCTGTCTCTTTGTCCTAGTCTCTGCCCTGGCTCCTGGTGCTAACATGGTTGACTTGCTGACACCCTGGCTATTTCCCCAGAACCACATCTTTAGCTCCTGGCAGAATTTTGGTGTCTGGCTTCCACCTTCTATTTTCTTGCCTCTCTTCCTGCCAGGTTGTGTAACACGTTTTCAGAGCTGCTCTGTAAGCAAGTTACAAGGGGGACCGGAGGCACATCAGTTGGCCAGCCATCAGGAGGTGGCTGGGTGCCTTCTGGGTTCTGGCTCTGGCAACCCATGGATGTTGGCCCTATATCCATGGTCCTATATCCATGGGCTTTGTGTGATAACACGAAGGTAACTGTGCCTATGTGACCTGGGCAGGTTTTGAAAGCCTATCCTACTCTTCACATGCACAGGTCGTGGCCGGGCTGAACTATTTCTTGGACGTGGAAATAGGTCGAACCACATGTACCAAGTCCCAGCCCAACTTGGCCAGCTGTCCCTTCCATATCCAGCCACACCTGAGGAAGGTATGTGCCTGATGTTGTCCAGAGGCCAGATATGCAGGGCAGAGGGGCAGGTTTGTGCCTATGTCATGGATGAGTGCTGTGGTGTGGGTAGAATGTGCATGTGTTGGGGTGTGTATGGGGGAAAGGGTGCCAGTGTGTGTGCTGGTTCCTAAGATTTCTAATTTGAATGTATAAGGATGTTTACGCTGGGACATTTGGGTACCATGTGTCTGCTGATTGGAGGAGCAGCTGGTAGGGTACATGGGGTCCTGTAACCTCAGTATCAGCCACTAGAATACATTAGCGAGTATTAGAGGCCTATAAGGGGAGAAATCTTTTCATGCTGCGCTGCTCACTGAACACCAGACTATCCCCTGCATGGAACAGTTCTTTTCATGTCTCAGCCTCTGGGGAGACCTTCCACCTTCTATTCAGATGACCCTCTTGTTACCTTCCCAATCATACTTCCTCTTTCAGGAAGGTTTCCTCGACCTGAGTTCTGCCTTCTGGACCTGTCTTAGTGCTGGCCCACTGGAGGTGAAGGGAACTACGCCTTCCGGGGCTGTGTTGCCTTACCTGGCTTCTCTTTAAAGGGCCGTGTAGGGGGTATAGCAATGTGGGTTCCTGTGGGGAGGAGGGACAGGAAGCCATCTCCTGGACTTGGAGTGATGGGATAGAGTCCAGAGTCCAATGCAGAGTCCTGCAGAGTGGTCTGGGACTGAGCAGGATAGGGGTCTAAGAGTTCTACCAAACAACCACAGTCCCTCACCTGCACTTCTGAGATCTGGTGCTGGCCATTTCCTTTTTTACTGTAACTCTAACTGACCATCATTCTCATTTCTGTTTTGTAGAAAGCACTCTGCTCTTTCCAGATATACACTGTCCCTTGGTTGGGCAAGACCTCCATGGTGAAGTCCAGCTGCCAGGACACATAGAGGATGTGACGGGCTGGACCACACTAGCTGCCTCTCACTTGCACTCCCCCACCCTGATGGAGTCCCCTCAGTGTGCTGGTCCCAGACAACAAATAGAGGCTTCTTGAGAATTGTTTGAATAGCTAAGAGGCTCTAACTTGTTTCTCTTAATTGCTTTCTAGATGACCTATCCCTGTTGCATATGTTCTGCCCCTATTTTACACAATAAAAAATAACATCAGCTACTCCTTGAATTGTTCACTGTTTGGGGATGTGCCTGAAGGGTTTACACAGTTACTTTAAGAAGAGTTCTGGAGGGCAGAGGAGGGGACAAAAGCTGATACACGTGGCCACAGTGGCATGTTAGGAGAATATGCTGCCCTTTTTCAGATGACTGAGTCATGAAGGGGGCCTAGGAAGCCAGGCCTTTGGCTCTAGTGGTTGCTGATAACCAGTAAAAATAGAGAAGGGGAACTATGCTGCTGGTTCTGAAGACTTGGCTGCTATATTTGAAAAGAAGTCAGACAGTGAGCAAAGTCTAGACAGGAAGGAGAGTTTAGATGGAGCCCATAGCCCAGGGCTTTTCTCAGCAAGGTTCTGCAGATCCATAGTTTTCAGCTGAGCTGATCAGACCTCTGGAATTGATGTGACTGCTCAGATTCCCTAAAGACTAAAGAAATAATGCTTTACATCTACTTCCCCACCTAAGAGCCTATAGGCACCAATAAGGAGTTGAAGAGTAAAAATATATGTATATTTAAAGCTGACTGGGGAAATGCCAGTCAGATTCAAAATCAATCAAGGTCAGATGCAGGCTTGGAAAAGAAAGTGTGAAAGCAACACCTTCTCTGATTTATCCTGGCAAGCTGTTGTCTATAAGGGTTTTAGTAATTTACACCTACCAGACCATTTCTGGGTCCTCAAGCATTTGTGCCTTTTCTGGTCTCAGTTGGCTGCAGAGCCTGCTTACCCCCTGACTTTATTTAAGGAACGAGCTTTGGCATTAGAGAAGTGAAACACCCCCAATAAGCCTTGAGCTGGAGATATTTGAGCCTGGGCCCTGTAGGGGAAGGGGAGGTGTGACTGGACTTAGGAATGGCATGTTTATTTTGGGGAGAGAGGCATGGCAAATCAGACTTTAGAGAGAAGTGGTGGCCTGGGCCAAAGGCCTCCTATAGGGTCTTTGCAGACTTGGAGAAAATTCTTGATTTTACAAAAGCAAGCAGCATCCAGGCACTGCAATGACATGCTGATTTCATGTAAAACCATGATTTTGGGACACTTCCAATTTAATTCTTTCTTCCTCCTGGAAGTTGGAGGTAAAAGAATGAGGTACAGTGAAAGGATGGGGGTGCTGAGAAGGGTCTGGCTGAGCATACAAGTTCTGCTGACCAATGCCTCCCATACTTTAGCCCCCTGCCTCTTCTCCCTTCCCTTTCCACTACCTAGGCCTCCTATTTACAGCTAACATCACAGGGTTCCAATTGGTACCAACCCAGTTTCCCCACCAGGTAGGGGGCTAGCCTGTGGATGCCTCAACTCTGAGGCTCTGGGTGAGGTAATGCAACCCAGAGTACTCTGACCCACTAACCTGGACATCACCAAGACCAGCATGTCTTATGGGGAAGCACAGCCCTGCAACTGCATGGTTTCACTTTGATGCTTATTTTAAATGTAAATATTAGTGTATAATTTATATAAAATATCCACATTCATAGACGTAGCACAATGATCGGCTCTGAGTAAATAGTAAATAAGTTTTAGATATTTTTTCATTGATCTTACGATATATTGTAGTGGTTTAAAATATGGCCCCATATTTTCTTTGAATTGAGAGGCAGGGTCTATGAACTGCCTCTGGATTCTGATTGTGCTTGTGACTGCTTCAACCAAAAACTATGGACTCAAGATGAGGTCAAGGAAGAACCCAGGGCTTCTGCCAAGCATTCTTGCACACCTGCCCCAGGTAAAGCCAGCATCCATGTGAGTAGCCCCACTTCTCAAAATGGCCATGCTGGAGAAGCCCCTGCTGGTAGCTGCTTAACAGCCCCCAGTTGAGCTGCCAAAGCCGGAATCAGCTGCCAGCCAATTGAATGGGCTACCATGGATGCCCATCCCAGCTGAGTTCTCAGGTAACTATAGCTCCACTGTCATCTCATAGCAGTCACATGGGAACCTCCATGCAAGAACTGCCTAGCTTCTCTCTATGAATTTCTAGTCCACAAAACCATGAGCATGAGAAAATGGTGTTGTACCACACCTCCAAGTATTAAGGTGACTCTGATATAGCCGTGGTATCTGAGATACACCATGTGTGTGTGTGTGCCTTCATGCAGGTGAAGAGGTTGAAGCCAGAGCCAGAGGCATGGATAACAACTCCACTGGTTGTGTGACCTGGGCAAGCTCCTTACTCTCCATGAACTCCATTTATCATAAGTAAGGGGACAGTACAAGCCCCTTTCTCTTCTACTTGTTCACATCTGTAAAGCACCTAGAACAGCTCAGTTTATTACATAAATAGATAGTATTCCAAGCAGAATGCTAACACATTTTTATATGGTGTTCCATGAGTATTTCATTTTTTTCAAATGATATTATTAACCACTTTTTTTCCTGTGAGGTTTCTAAGAGCTATTTCAAAAGGCCATCATTTGTATAGTGTCATAGGTCATCGGTCAGTTTCTGCATCTCAGGCTTAAATCTAGCAGGGTTTATTTTTCTGTGCCAACTACTCCATTTTAAATATATTGTATTAATATCTATTAGGTAAAGGCTCATTCTATTTATTCTTTGATAAATTTTATTTCTAAATGTTTTGTATTTATTCTTCAAAATGAAAAATAATTTTTAAGTTCAAAAAGAATTATTGTGTTTTAAACTAGGATGATTTTGAATGTATATTTCCATTTAGCAAAAAAACCCTAAAATTGACACTTAATATCCAAGTTTTTCATTTCAAAAACCTCCTGCCATGTGTTTGTGCTCTTATTATGTTCTTCAGTCACATAATGTAACTTTTTATGCATCTTTCATATTTCCTGTGAAATTTATGCCTGGATATTTTATATTTCTCTCAGGAATATTTCCTACAGTATGTCTCACTACTCATTGATGATAGAAAAAAATTATTGACCTTGTCTGCTTTTATTTTATCAGTTTTGGTGTCTCATGATTAATAGGTCCTTAGAGGATTGGTGTTTTGTGGCTTATTACTGCTATGAGATGCAGAAAGTCAGGAGTGGCTTTGGACAAGGCCACAAATAATATCAAAAGAAGCAGAGAGGGGAAAACATCAACCCTGTCCCAAGCCTACATGGTCAAGCTAGAGAGCTGGTCATGGGAAGACAACTGTCTAGTCACCTGTTTCTCTTCATTATACTCTACTGTGTGAACAAAAACACATAAAATTGAGAAACAGTGCATCAAACGGTAACCCAAACATGGAGCAGATTCTCTTCAAAGCAGCTGTTCTGCCATCTTACCTTTGGCATTGGGTTTACTGAGGGGTTTGGGGGTGGTGTCACCTCAGTATCATCTGAGGTTTATGCAGCCCAGAGTCAGATACACTTAAGTGTTATTCAGATGTCAGCTGGGTCCCCAGCTCACTGAGACCAGATAAGGTGTATAAATAATCTCAAGCATGGCTGCCTGTGCAATCACCGGGAAAGTTTTAAAAAAGAGTGATGCGTGGTTGCACCCTAAGAAATTCTGACTCAGTTGGTCTGTGCTGGGGCCTAGGCACTGGAATTTTGAAATACTACCCAACTAATTCTGAAAGGAACTGCATAACTATAACTCAATTAGATTTCCTCTAAAAGTCCAATTACTTCTCAAACATCTGCAATTTTCAGCAGGTGCAGGGTTCTCTCTCAAAAGTAATGTCAACATCTAGACATGCTTTTCGTGCTAGGGATCTCTGCAAATATATAACACAGCCCTCTCCTTGAGTCCCAGTAAATAAAACACAACCAAACAAAATCACACAAAAACATCCTTCAACTAAAGCACTGGTTAAGTCATTGAACGTTTGTGGAAATTTCAAATAGCTCTACAGGTTTCTGTGGAGCAGTAATCTTGGTATCTTCAACCTCAGCACTTTGCATCCCTGTCTTTGAAATACCCTTGACCTCATTACTAGAGGTAGTTGCCAATTGACCTTTACCCTACTGAATCACTGACCTTATTTCTTTGTTCTTCTCTCCTTGGCATTTCCTATTTGTCCACTCTGTCCTTTCCCTATGGATCCCTCAACTGGTCCCAATTTTCCCTCTGTGAGGGAGAGCAGCTCAGCTCTTTCTAAACTTTCCTAAACCCATCAAGGTTCTCAGAAAATAGTGTTTCCTAGTAAACAGGATCTACCCTTTTAGTGAAGTACTTTGATCATGAATAGCAACGTATTTTTCTTTTACCCAGATCCAGGCTCCCAAGGAATAAGCTAAGGAAAATACCTGCCTTTCCTAAATGGCTACCAGCTGATAAATGGTGTGGAGGAATGGTTACCCCTTGGGCCCTGTGTGTTTCTCACTGATCACACTATCCATATTGAGGTAACATCACCCAATAGTCCTTGAGGTGGGTATTGACTTACAAACCAGAGAGTGCCCTGCATTCTTATGATAAAACAGCAAGATAATGATTCCTGTGGTAACACCCTCTCCTTCCCTCTCATTCCACCTGTGAGCAAGGAAGGTGACTTCACCTTTTGAGCCATGGTTTGGAGAATGTGACCTTGGCTAAGTCAGTCTGGACAGCCCATTCCCCTAAGCCTTAGTGATAGGCTTAAAGAAGGCATATCACCCAAGCCTGGGGTGTCCTGGATTAGTGGTGGGATTTTGTTTGAACTATTTGAAAAGTAGGCTCTCTCTTTCCTCCTGGGTATGAAGATGAGAAGACAGGAGATCCAAAGCAACTGTTTGAGAATGAAGACAAATTACAGGGGGCAAAATAACTAAGTCAAGAGACAATACAGAGCACTTCACTTATATCACTTGAGTTCCTGCACTAAGCAGTGCTTGTTGTCAACCTTTCCTCTGGACCTCTTAATTATGTGAAACAGGCCTGTTGGGTTGTTTTTCTGGCACTTGTGCTCTTATGAGTCTTAACTAACACAGAGAAGCAGAAACTGAATTTACCATTCATTTTCCAGAGCTGATTGTCTCATGAAATTTCTTGACTGTTTCAAAAGTAACACCCCAAGGGGTCACCTTACAGAAAGTAGAGGTTCTGCCTGCTCTGTAGACCTCAG